CAATTGTGGATGTAGCAACAAGCTGTATTCACAGTAGTGGTTTTCAGAAGTATTTCTGAGCCCCTGCAGTGATTATACTACAGAATTGTGTCTGGTTTTAGTGCAATGCTGCCTGAAGGCCTGAAGATCATGGCAAGCCAATACTGTTTTTTGGCCTTGTCCCTTACATACAGAGATTTCTCCAGATTCTCTGAATCTTTTAATGATACCATGTACCATACATGATGAAATTCCCAAGCTGTTGCTATTTTATGATGAGAATCATATTCTTGAATTATTGCACTGTTTGACCAAGCAGTCTTTCACAGAGTCCCAATCTTTACTTCTGAAAGACTCAGCAGCTCTGGGATGCTCTTTTCATAGCCAATCATGTTACCAACCTATTGCCAATTAATCTAATTAGCTGTGAGATATTCTACCAGTTTTTTTTCCCTAACATTGTACAACTTTACCAGTCTTTTGTTGTCCCTTATTGGAACATGTTGCATATTTTTCAAAAAACAGTAAAATTTCTCAGTTTCAACATTTGATATGTTGTCTTTGTACTATTTTCAATTAAATTTAGGAGTTAATGATTTGCACATTATTGCATTCTGCTTTATTTACATTTTACACAGTGTCCCAACTTTCTTGAAAACGGGACTGTACATATTTGTACCACTTCATTACCTAACGTTTAAAACAATAAACAACAATAAAATAAAACAATAAAATAAAAAGCTAGAGACAAGACAGAATGTGTGAAGTCAATACAACTTACAACTGCTACGGATTATAGTACAGTTATGTTCCCTAACAAAAGCTACTGAAGATGTACTCCTGAGTATACCGCCCAGTGACTGTTTGGTGTATTTTTGTCTGAGAGTGTATGCTATTCTTTAATCCTGTATCTCATAAAAAATTAATAAAAAATGCTGCACACTACTTTGTGATTCACGCTGCAAAATGTACCTGCTTAATTCCCATTTCTCTATATCAGCTTTTCAGCCACTCTCAGTCATTGACAACGTTCGAACTGCAATAAAACACTTCATGTTTCCATCCTCTGACACACATCCATGACACCTCCTTGTACTGTGCTTCCTTTTCATGTGAAGTGTTAAAATAATTCACTGTTGCCTATACACAGCCTAGTATATAGAATTTCTCTGAATATGAGAGCACTATTCACAGACTAGTCAAGCACAACATTAACCAATGATGTATGAGATACAACTTAGGTATTTAAGGCACGCTCCACTCATTAGCATAGTAGTGGTGAGGAAAATAGACAAATCATTCATGATCATACACTTCATTTGAGAAAATAGTCATATCGATGAATGTAAGAGAAAAATAAGATAAATGGAGAGGAAAAGCAAATAGTCTGCAATCAAAATCATTGTGTCTGTTTTTGTTTGCTTTTGCGAACTGGATCTCAAAAAATGGCATAATTCATGAATTCTGACACTGAATTCTAGTTAATGCTTGACGTGTTTTCATTTTATTTCGGTCTTGTTCTTATTTGGTCTTTACTTGGTCTTGCCCTCCTTTAAAATTGCTTTTTACTCAGTCTTGAGTAGTCATAGTTTTGGACTTGTCTTGAACTCAACAAAGGTGGTCTACAGCCCTAATCTAAATATGAGACACGCTTCCATCTTTCAATATTTTTGAAGAAGATGGGCATGGAAGTTTGATGATATGCATTAAATGTGCCACTTACTATCTGCTGTGATTCATCTCACTCTGCAATCCTACATCAGTGGAAGGTTAGAGCTGGATAAGAAGTTGAATGAACAGAGTAAAAAGCAAGATCAAAGTGGTGATCATAGAGATGAGTTAAGCTGAATTACTCCTGACTGTCACTAGAGGGAGGCATAATGCAATTTTAAAGACTTTCCTTCAGGTTTACCTCAGACCTTAACAAATTCAGTTAAATCAGTTCATAAAAAATGGCACCTTTCTGCACTTGTGAAAGTAATTAGGGTGTGACTGGTATTCGTGACAATAAAGTCACATCGCATGAAAATCACAGTACTGTAGGCCTATTTACTGTATATTAGGTACAAGCAGTACAGCAGCTGAATGGGTATTTATTTACTGATCCACTAATATAATACCAGTCAGCTGATTCTGCCTCCCTCTACAGCTCCAAAGTCCCTTCCTTAATCCTCAAACAGCAGCTTATTGAAATCAGATAAGTCTGACACTACCAAGACTGCCAATATCCTCAATCTGGACACAGCCATCGTTCAAATTCTCATAAAATCCAGTAGAGAGGGCACAACCTTTCAGTACTGCTGCTGTGGCCCAGTGAGCTCAGCTCAGCTCAGCTAGGAAGAAAATCCCTGCACAGTTGGGCATGTCCATCTGAGGGGCAGTCTCAGAGAAACCTGCGGTCTAGAATAATATATACATGCGTGGTCACATGTTCAGGGAACTACTGCATTGTTGTCACATGTGACAGCAAACAGGGAAGGGAAATGCTCTATGGAGCCCACTGTTAAGATAATATGCTCAGCCATTAAAGAGCTCATAATCATTTGTTGTTTTGCGTGCATTAAACCTCATTCAGCTTTATTTAGCCAGTAAAGGAAGCAATTTGTTCAGAAAAGGGTGAATCAGCTATGAGTCTCAACAGTAAGCAAAGAAGACACGAATCAGTGCCATTTAAATAGACACTGTTGGAATCCATTACCTGGTTTATTGAAAGATTATTAATGTAGAAGCTCAGTGCTCAGAATAACTATAAGTAAATGACATGCAACACGTAGCTTACCAGTAGCCTACAATGAAGTTCAAATAGACAGTAAGGAACGAGTGTCAAATACCAGAATTTCATTGTACAAGCTTCTCTGAACGGCTCGCTGCAGGTTTTTAAAGATGCTACTTGAGGCCACTAATAACTTGAGACTGAGTGAAGAGCTTCAATGTCATCGACGTCCATGTCCAAATGAAACGTATGGGCGCGTCTGCAGCAGAGACTTCTACGCCTGCGCGCGCTCACGCTCGCACACACACACACACACACGCACACACGCACACACACACACACACACAAGCGCGCGCACACACGCACACGCAGAAGGTATGAGGTAATTGTTTGGTCACGTGACTCCTGCAGTAGCTGTCAAAAGTGATACAGCAGCGCATCCCTGACCAGCCCACCCGCTTCCAGCTGATTGGACTACCATCAGGTGTTAGGGCTCATCTACAAATTTCATCGTGACATGAAAAAAACACAAGGACCCCCGCAGCCTTTCAGCTTTAAACAGCAATACGTTTACACCACACCACAAACACAGCATTAGTTCTGCTACAGAGCTTGGCTATATGGTCAAAGCCCATTACTTCCTAAATCACCCCTATTTTATTCTACAATTCTAGAATATGGTGCACTATTAATGGCACTTGAAGTAAGTACAAAGACACTAGATAAAGATCTATGACGCTCTTTATGCATTAAAAGTTAATTGAACCAAAAGGTTACTATCTATTGATTGCCGGAAATATAGATTGAACACTTTTCTGTATATTTCAATCTTTAAGATGTAAAGAAAGTTATTCAGAGCTGTTTGATGAGACATGATGCACTGTAGAGAAACTTACTGACGCTGATTTCTTTACAGTGGTGGTGATGGAGTCGTGATGTCTACAACACAAATATAGCCATTTTATTTACTTTTCAAAATGGCCTACATGCATGTCTGTCTAACTGTCTACACAGCAGAAAATGATATCTTTGCAAGTGAAATCATCTCATGTCTAGCTCTTATATCTAATACTTCTCATTTTGAGATTGCTGTAAGAGTATTGTAAGATAGTTTAACCAATTTATCTGCCAACCCAATGAGAGAATTTGGTAAGCAGATGATTAATGAGATTGTTTTTTCCATACGTAGTAATTAATGCAATCCCAATACATTTTGAGAGACTAGATAGCTTTTTAAGCAATTTCCCCAACACTGCTATCTATACTAACATTAACTCCAGCATTATGTACAATCTGTTGATCCTGTGCAGCGATCTGTTTTGACTGGATAAAGCAAATTTTGTTGTGGGAGCGTAGCAACATACTTTTTGCTTTCCTTACAGTTTTTGTGTTTCTTTGCTGCATTTGTATAACTTCATTTGATTTTCTCTCTTACAGCTGATATATATATAAACGGAATAGTAAAGATCAAAGATCACAAATTTTACTTCTACATCTATATATTCACTTAAGTTCTGCAAGAATGCATGAGAGTACAGATGTGTGGAGGCTTGTTGCTGTTTGTTAAAAGAGAATCTTGTAGTAGATTAATAGATACGAGTGGATCAGTTTCTGCAGCTGCTGGAGTTTTTAAACACCTCTGTGTGACTGCCTGACTGAGAATAGTCCACTAACCAAAATATCCAGCCAACAGCATCCTGTGTGCGGCATCCTGTGACCACTGATGAAGTACTAGAGGATGACCAACACAAGCAACAGACGAGTTACTGTCTCTGACTTTAGGTGGACCAACAAGGTAGGAGTGTCTAATAGAGTGGACAGTGAGTGGACACAGTGTTAAAAACTCCAGCAGCACTGCTGTGTCTGATCTACTCATACCAGTGCAACACACATTAACACACCACCACCACGTCAGTGTCACTGCAGTGCTGAGAATGATTCACCACCCAAATAATACCTGCTCTGTGGTGGTCCTGACTATTGAAGAACAGGGTAAAGGGGGCTAACAAAGCAGGCAGAGAGACAGATGGACTACAGTCTGTAATTGTAGAACTACAAATTACAAGGTGCTCCAAATTGGTGAGTGAGCACAAATTATTTCACATTATGTATATGTATATATATATATATATATATATATATATATATATATATATATATATATATATATATACGGGGGACTACTAACATTTTTAACACACCACATCTCCTCATGAACTTTTGCCTCGGTCCCTTCCTCCGGAGCTGTGACCCCGCCCATGTCGGGAGTCCGCTCGTGCAGGCTCGCGAGTCACAGGAGGTGAGGAGCGTTCAGAAAGTGGGGAAAGTGGGGCCGTGGAGAGAGGCGCTGAGGGGCGGCTTTCACAGGGCAGGGCTGATGTCTGTGGGGTTATAGAAGGTGTGCTGGCAGCTGAGGGGTAGTTCAGAGTTCACCGAGTTCGTCGAGGGGGAAAGACGCACGCGCGCGCCTGTGGGTGGGGGGGAGCGTGTGTATTTGTGTGTGTGTGTGTGTGTGTGTGTGTGTGTGTGGAGAGAGAGAGAGAAGGAAAAAAAAGACTACTGAGCACCAAATTTGGGAAGCGGGGAGGAGAAACGGTGCTTCAGCCTTTCTTTTCTCTCTGCGAGTAGCAGACAGAGCGGGGCGCTGGTGACGCCTGAAGAGGAAGAGGAGGGGGAGGATGATGATGAAGAAGAAGATGATGATGATGATAATTTCGCGTGTGTCATGGCAAACGGAACCGGCACGATCATGTTGAAGTGCGTGGTGGTCGGCGACGGCGCCGTTGGTAAAACTTGCCTGTTGATGAGCTACGCCAACGACGCCTTCCCTGAGGAATATGTGCCCACTGTCTTCGACCATTACGCAGGTAAATAAACACAGAGCTTTCATGGTCAGCTGTTTAAATGTGATAGTGATAGCCTCATGGCTCATGCATCAGCAGGAGTGTGCACTGTCATACCAGTGGTCAAAAAGGCTGAAGAAACTGGTCTGAAGTGGCACTGTGGCTTTTGTCTGCTGCTGCCTCTGATCAAAACCACCTGTGGGCTTCAAGGAAGGAAAGCAGTTGCTGTGTTTTGCCGTTTTCTCCCAACCCCCCCAATCCGCCACACACACTTTTTTTAGTCCAGAAACCACACATCCTGCCAGTTTTCACCTCGTTCGTCCTTATGTAACTGAATGATTTCATCATATTGCTGTGTTTGAGTGTTAGATGCTGCTGTAAAGTAACGTTTTTCCTAATCTGATTTTACAGTGAGCGTGACAGTGGGAGGAAAGCAGTATCTCCTTGGGCTGTATGACACTGCGGGTCAGGTAGGGACCAAATCTTGCTTTCTTTCTGTCTCTCTCTTCTTGACGTGTTTTATTAGAAGTGACAGCAGCTGTATCAATGACACCAATACATGGTGACCTGTGTGCCTGTATTCATCAGTGGGGGGACGTGGCAGACTCTGCCTCGGCAAAATGGCTCAGTGTCTGAGTCACTCAACAGGTGATTGCTGTCCAGCTTACTGGGTTTCATTTAAACAGTAGAGCTGCTCAGTATATTGTCACCGCAGTATTGCCAATATTGTTGATGCTGATAATGCAGAAGGTTGCAGTATGTAAATTAACTCTAATAAATCCACATTTTTCTTTATTGAGTACTGACCGACCTCAGATATGCCAGATGAGATTCTGTAGGTATTTTGGGTGAATCAAGGTGTTCCTAGTGATCTGACAATAAAATGCAGGCCAGTCTTTAAAGCACCCATATTCTGCAATTTTTTTTGTGTTTTATTTTTTCCCCCAAGGTCCTCTTATCTTGTTTGCATCAGTTTATGCACCCAAATAGCCCTAATTCATTTTAACATGACCATTTCCCAACCTCTCTTTATGCCTTGGAATTAAATAGGCTGTTTTTATTACTGTGGCTTTAAGATTGATACATGTTAATGACCTTTATTCTGATTGGCTGACCTGTGAAAAGGAATCCAGGCTGAAGCACTCCTTATAACTTCAACATTAATGAGTGCGGCTAAACTGCTGTAAGCTGAATTGGCGAATATGTGTAAATGTGTTTGTGGCATCACAAAAACGTAAACTGTACATTTTGATACTTTAACAATGTTTACATGCTCTATCAAACTCTTTTACTTATAAAATGTGTATTATGTAAAATGTATGATTATATATAAATATAAAATGTTTAATTGTCAAGGACAATTAGTTTTTTTTGGCCCTTTAACAATGTTGCATTATTTTACATGACATATCATAGTTACACTATGCAGCAATGTAGGCTCAGTATTGTACCATTTTTGAGCAGCCCTGGCCAAAAGCTTTTCAACAAGCTCATTACAAGTCTGAACCTTTCTTTCAAAGGTTATGATTTGGGTCCATTTCAGCCCACAGTCACAGTCCTACGGTTTGGATAACTAAGCAAATTCAGTCGGATTTAAAAAATGGACATGGAAAAACAAAACTGATTCGCCCGACTGTGCTCACAGTGTAAATCAGGGAAGTTGCCTCAGTGCTTCTTACTGAATTAACAACAAAAGTGCAACCATATGATCTGAAATGAGGATCTGAAGGAGTTCAGCCGCTCTATGCATTAATCAGCAGTATACGCTGTGTCTGCTCTCGGGGTTTGAGAGGAAGTTTTTTTTTTTTTTTCTTGGAAGGTGGTCTGCTTCAGAGAAAATGAATCTCTATGGGTCTGACACTCTAATGAGGAGGCCTAGGAGTCATGAGCTGTTGGAATGGAAACAGTTCTGCTATTCTGCTCTATGAACGTATAAGAGGAGCTCAGAGACCGTGCCTACTCTCTTGGGCAAAGTGGAGAGCCGGATCTGACATGGCTGCTGTTTTTCATTCAGAGAGCACTTTAAAGAGTGCTCCAGTTGAAGGAATGAAAATGTGGGGAGTGGGCCAGATGTGGAGAGGGGTCAGGAAGGGCCAAATGCTGGGATTTACTTTCAAAGCAGTTTGAAACCCAAAAGCTACTCCCTGCTCTCGCCCCCCGCACACAGCTGGGTTCAGTTAAAAACTATTCAGAGACTGTGATTGATCAGATGATCAGAGGCTTCATTTAGATTACGAGCAAGAGGGTGGGTCTGCAGCCCTGACTAAACTAAAGCTGATATAAAGAGAACAAAGGAAAGTTTTCATGGGAGTTTGTCTCTCTGCTAATTACCATCAGTTTTTTTCCCCAGTCGTGCTCTGAGATGTAGGCTAAGTGCGTAGTGAGCGAACCTGATACACACACGCACTACTTGAGGAGAGATCAAAGCAGCTGCAGCATTTGGCTTTGGTAGTGTACGGCATATCAGCTCTGGGAGGCTTCACCCACACACCAACTTCCCTGCCGGCCCACTTTGAACTGCTCCCCTCTACTGCATCGTGTTGCACACACCAGGGCACTGGACAAATATCTCACACAATGGTGCTTTGACTTGTTTAGCTGAGAGCGTCCAAGTTTATATTTTAGTTGCCAAAATCTTTTTTGTTTCTTTGAACCATCAAAAGCAGCATGGAGAGCAGGTATGTTGTCCAGAGCTATGTTTGAAACGATGGATAATTTGCTATCTTCCTGTAAAGCTAACACGGCAAGTCGTCTACTTTTGTATTGCACTTGCTCTTTTATTCTACTTTTTGACTAGTTTGTACATTAAAGCTCCAGTCAGGTTGCCAAAACAGTACCACTGTGTTGCTTGAAAGCCTCTGTTGTGGTATCAAACACCAGTTTACAGCACTGTAAGTTTAGAATACTACCTCACATAAGGAATGCAAACTGCAGTACTAAAATCAGTTTCTACTAGGGCTGTAATAATACAATCAGCTCATGAGTCGACTTCAATTCACAACACTGGGATCCTCATTCAATATACTGAATTATGTCATTTTTACATCAGGTATTATGGTGCAGCATTTTTTCAGAATACGATCGCTGTTCTAAACCCAGAACTATCCATATCCTGCTCAAGCACCCATGTCCATTTCCCATTGCATAACAGAACAGACAGAGTAGGCGGACATCTATGGATGATGTGTGGTCATATGATTTTTCACATGAATTCAGTGGTAACAGTAAAAAAAGAATAACAGTAGAAAAAATGAAAGACATTTAAGTTCACTTCTTATTCTGCTTAGGTTGAGCAGTATCCCCTTTCTTTAAGATGTTACCGCTCCCCTTGTCCTACATCATTTGAAGATAGAATTAAATCAAAAAGAATAGTATGTGATCATCATATAAGTGAACACAGTGCATAATGTACAATAAATCATTCAGTAAATGTCAAATCTATCTAGTGAATGATAAATGTTAATCAGTGCTGATAACTAGGAGAGAGGCATTGGCTTAGCTAGCATGATATCAGCTCTGCTCACCACAGAACATGTTTTATTCTGGCTAACTAAAACTACCTGGCTAACTTGGCAACAGCCAAGATCACTAGAGAATTGTGTCTCAGCACCTAGAACTTATTCTCAAATGTCTCAAGGATAAGGATCTACAAAAGCAGCTCAAATGCAACCTGCAGTGTCACAGTTTGCCTTGTTTTTTAGAAGCTGTTTGAAGGATTGTTTATAGGTGTTCTGCCCATTTTTTGTCCTCAATGAGAACAACGTGGCGAAATTGGAAAAAAAAATCATGTAGTGTTTGGTGTGTATAGATTTGATGTGAAAAATAGAGTCTGAATATTTCACATTGTTGTGTTATTTATTCACATCACATTCAGTGTGTTACGACATTTTGAAAGCTTAAATCGAGCGTGTTCTGTAGTTCTCTTATCCATTGTTAAGCCACTGTCATGCTTAGTTTTTCTGAGGTTTTTACTGGGTCTGATTTTTTCCCTCTTTCTGGCAAGAAATGGTAGCTTGACAAGAAATGTAACAGTATGGGTATTCATGTACTGTAGGTATGGCTAAGAAAATGAGTGATCACAAATTTGAAATCGTGCTGCACCACACCCACTGATTGGTGGGAAAACATCATAAGCTGAGGAGACGATTGGCCTCGAGCTGTGAGTGTGGTGGATGACAATGAATGTGCTAGTGTGGGTGAAGTTGGTTGTGACTTTTGTGTTTGTACAGTGCAGTTGCATCAGTTGGCGTAATAAATGTAGCTGATTTTGCCCACCGATATGCTCAATATTCCATTTTTGCATTGCATTGTCTGGTATCACAGTGTTCTACTACACTACCTCCTGGATGAGCTGAGTGTGCATAGTGCTGGAGAGTATACCGTATTTGTTTCACATAACAATACTTGTTTGTTTTGGACAGCGACGACATATTCCTCTGACAAACTAGCATCACACTACATCGTTCCCTGTGGAGAAGAGATCACTTTTAAGAATGTGTCTTCCCACAGCATCCAGAATGGTACTAGTTAGCTCTATTTGCTCACTAGCTCATCTGAGTAGGTAGCTTTCTTAACTCGTCCTGAGCGAAAATCTCCCTATTTCTCTTGACTATTTTTGAATACTAAAACATGTTTTCAAATGTATACATCTGCACAAGTGCTGTTTCTTAAAAGGTAAGCCTGCAGCCCTACATTAGTGTTGGCTGATGTTGATTTTCTTGCCAGCAGTTAAATGATAATCTTTCCCTTAACCCTTGTGGATACTGGAATATCACAACTAGTTGGAATGCTCATCCCTAATATTGATAAATAGCAAAACATACTTAACTGTAATGTGTGTTATGTGCTGAATGCTTCAAGTTGTTTTTAAGAACATTTTGAAATGCATAAAAACTAAATAAATAATAAATTTCATGTTTGTAAATGTTGCTTCTGCCTAATGTTTAAAGTTTCCTTTGGTGTAATTGTAATAAGAGAAAAAAAAAAACAGTCCAATCAAAACAAGCAGTCAGGTATGTAAGACATTCCACTACCACTAACTTTTATTCATAAACTTTGTACCAGTAACATTATTAATACAAGCTTAAATAGCATTGAATATTCTGAATTTTACGGTATTGCATTGTATCAGTTGAATTCGTTATTATTCTAAATCATAATGATATTAAATAAAGCATGCACTCATTTTTTTACAGTTTAAGTATGTTATTTTCAAAGGTAAAATACTAAATATCAGTGCTGCAGAGCTCTATTTGTGCATTTCTCTGGATGTCTCTAGCTTTGGTTTTCTCTATGGGTGTGTGTGTCTCACAGCTCGTGGGCATGGTGTCTGGGTTTAGGTGATGATGGATGGATGGACTGTGCCGTCCGCTGAACTCCATATTCCCCACAGCCACAGAATCATCACACATAGCTGACCATATCTGACACTAAGTCTGCAATGCTGCATGGGACAGACTGAACAGGGCTA